TAGTTATTGTATTTTATTGTGTTGTATGAGTATTTCATGTTATAGGTATGACAAGTTAAATTATATATAAAGGATGTTTAATGTTAACTTCTTACAATTTTGTTTATGAAATAGGTATAAAATGAATAGAGGTAAGGCAGCCGCCATTGAGTCCTCTGGTCCTACTAGAGAGTTCATGAAGTGGACAGAGGACATGGACGCACGTCTTCTACACTCTATGATTGAGGAATCACGAATCGGTAATAGGGTTGACAGATGTTGGACATCCCAAGCATATAGTAACATAGTTGATCATCTTCATAGCTCTGGCTATGTCACAATTACGAAAAATAATGTTAAAAATCGTCAGAAAGTGTTGAAAGATAAATGGCGTGAGGTACATGACCTGTTTTCTGGATTGAGTGGATTTACGTGGAACCCAGATAGTATGACCTTTCATGCTGAGGACGAAGTTTGGATGGACCTGATTCAGGTTTTTTTAAAAATACTATGATGTTGTGGATCCTTATAATAATTAATATGAACTAGTGTGTTTGTTCTATTTGTTGTTTCAGTCGAAGCCAACTGCCGCAAAGTGGAGAGTTAATAGTATGAAACACTACGATTTAATGGTAGAGTTATGGGCTGCTGATCGAGCTACTAGGAGTGGTGTTCGGACCGCTCGTCAAGCACGTCGACAGCGGGTTGGGCCTCGTGTCAGTGTTGATTTGAATCAAAATACTGAGTACATTCCTGAACAGCCTGAGTGGACGGGGTATAGAGACCCAACTCCACCATCACCTCCTCCATCTGTGGATGAATATAGTCCAGGACAGACTCAATCTGTGCCTTCCGTCCCATCCGGTGGAACTTCATCCTCACGAGGCTCCAAAAGGAAGGCACACATGGTCGATGTAATTGATTCTCAATTTGATAAGTTGAAGACCAACCTCGATGGTTTAGCAAATGTCCTAAGCTCATCAAATGTACATTTTGGTGTAATTTCTGATGCAGCTGTGCGTCAAGTCTCAGCAATGGAAGATAGAAATCAAATACTACGTTCCCAAATGGAAATCCTTCGTCGCACCCTGAATTACACATATACAGAGGTAGACATTTATGAAATGTTGAGTGCTATGAACATTGCTGATGAAAATTTTCTAGAGCAATGCTATGATTTCTTATGTGGAAACCCCACATGTACAAAGAGGTTGATGGGACTTCCACCACACAAGCGGTGGAATAAATTATGTAAAATGATCTCGGGAGGTGACTGTTAGGAAGTCTTATCTGACTAGTTGTATGACTATTATAAACAATAATGTATCTGTGATGTAATCATGACTTATTGATTTTCCATCCATCTTGAATTTTTAAGTTATCGTTATGGTTACGATGTTATGGTTTGTCCTTCCTTGTTGTTATTTTCAAATATAAATAATTTCAAATAACTTACTTTGTTATTGTTTTCATCATTTCCTTTGTTGAAGAAACTGTCAAATGGCCTCATCATCAACCAAAAGGCCAAGAAAAAATCGTAAAGGAAAAGAAACCCTCACTAAGGCAGAAGATACAACCCATGTCAGACCATCTATAGAGGAATAATTAGATCAACGTCGTTTCTTCACTCACAGCCATCAAATGGAAAACTATGCAGCTGATTTCTAGACAAGGAGTATTGTTGGTCCAAAGATAATGAATTTTGAATCATTTGCCGGTTCAGGGTTATTTTTCCAAAATCATCTTCTATTTCAAGGGGTGGTAGCATTTCTTACATTGCAGGGACCCTACTATCCGGATTTAATCAAAGTTTTTTATTCAAATCTAAAGATTTCTGGAAATGGATATTTGCTCAGTGAGGTAAACAAAAGAAGAATAAGATTGAAACCTACTGATTAGTTGAATGTAGCTAATATGAAGTATGAGGATCAAAAATTGTGTTTTTCAAATATCCCAGAGGACTTTCCATATGACTGGGAGATTGCATTAGCTACTATGGTTATACCAGAAATACAGGGTCACCGTGTTAAAACGGTTGGTTGTTTGAATATTAATGATAAACTTTTGCATTATGTTATTGTGCACATGTTGACTCCACGACTAGGGAATTTTGCTAGGTTATTGCAGGAAGATATCTTTATGATATGGGTGCTTAAAAATAATATAGCTATCAATTAGCCTCATCACATCATGCAACATATGATTAAATGCAAGGCCAGTGACACACCCCTACCATACGGTGTCCTTATCACACAGATCATGCAATATTGTGGAGTTCATGTTGATGCCGATGCCAGCACTCATATTGGGATCCGACATCATTTTTCAATTAATTCTTTGAAGAGGTTGAATATGTTAATGTCAACGGTGTTTGAAACCACGATGTCGGTGATGATGAAGAAGAAGAGGAGCAAGACCATCATGACAACCCTGTGCAACCTCCTTCACCTCTTTCAAATCGTAATATGATGACTCAAATATGGGAAGGGGTACAAGACTTGCAACACAGAATGCAAGGTATGGAACAAATGTAGGTGTGGGTTCAATGTATTGAAGATAACTTGGCAAACCTTTCCCTCGACATGAACCGCCAATTTGCTCACCTCAATCAGAATGTTAACTTGATTCTTCACCATTTAGATGATTGAGTTTATTTTTATTCCGATAATGTATTACATGACTTTTTTTTTGCTTAAATTGACTTATGTGTTTGATGTAACATCCCAAAATATATAGTGTAAACCATATTAAAGAGAAGCAACATGCACGATAAAGTAGTACAATTATCCATCTAAAGCATAAAGTGATATCTTTACAGTCATCCAAAAAAACTATAAATTTAAAACTTTATACACAGACTAAAGTCTACTCAAAACTATATACAAGCTCTACTTAACTAAAGCAACTACTCAGCAACATCACCTCCATCCAGTGCTTGCTCCAGGGAAACCTCTTCTTCCGCTGCTCACATCCAAAGGATGGTCATCGGAGAAGAAAAACAGCAGAATCATACAAAAACACAAGCATACAATAGGGTAAGCTAGTTTAAAACAAAATTAATCATACATCAAATCAATTAAATTCATACAAGCATATTATTCATTCACATCACTTAAATCTTTCACCCATAACACGACACTGACTTTGACTGTCCAGACTCAGAATGATTGCCGAGCTATGGCGGGTTGTGCACTCGTGGTGGCTTCTACTGCTTTGCAAAGTCGTTGCCAATGGGTTTCACCCTACCACACTCACGAGGTTAGTCCGTTATCACTCACCTTGTGCCATACTGGAAGCACCAAAGACTAGGACCTCCTGCTACTCCTCACGACATGGATCAATCCTCTCTACTTGAGAATGAAAGACCATTGGAGTTTCAGGATAACCCCCAATACTAAGCTTCTGCATCCATTCTAAACTTACTTGAATCTCATCTAGAGATTTCACTTTGAATCACAACATAGGGCACCACCATGTCTCCTCTCCTTCCCATTCAAGAAGATTTACTTTTTTTAGTTTATTTAACATATCAATTTTAAACAACATATCTAAAATTTCACAAAATTTTGCCAGCATTTCGCATTGGTCTTCAGGTTACACGAAATGAAAGTGATTATAAATCACAATCAAATATGCACTCGAAGATCAATACAAAATACAACTGCAAAATTTCATGAAATTTAAGACATGTATATTAAAATTTATATGTATTAATAAACTATGAAAAAGTTATTACTCTTCTTAAATTGTCCAACCGGACAATTCAAAATTCAATACTTGTAAATTATTATTACCATCTCCTCTCTTTTCATTTGTAAAAAGTACATTTGTTCAAAAAAATCTAGAGATAGTAAATAATTTTTGTATTGAATCTCAAACGGGAAACTACGGCTAATTCACAACAATAATATATATTCAAGCAAACAAATGATTACATATGCAACATGCAATATATTCAAGCAAACAATATATTGAAGCAAACAAGTTCATATTAAAAGGAAAATTTTAAGAATAGGAACCTGAGAGCGTGAAAGTCAGTCAACTATCGAGAATGTCCATGTATAAAACCTCAGCACAACAATACAATATCTAGACGAAAACAAACAACACATTAGTTAGTTTCATGATTTCTAACCTTAAAATTTATTTCATCACCAAATCAACCAATTTAATCCAAACTTTATCAAAATTATATTCCTTAATTTCTATACTCTAATTCAAAATTATATATCAATTTTCATCATCATCCAATTCAATCCTAACAATTCAAAATTATATAAACCTAAAAATTATATAAACCAATTAATGCAAATTATATAACAAAAACTATATAACAAATTATAATTAAAAAAAACTTACCAGGAAGAAGAAGACGCCACAACAAAAATGAACACCGTGGAGGAAGGGGGCGGAGTAGCGGGGCAGTTCAGCGGGGCGCCGTGCAACGGAAGTGGAGGAGCACGGGCGGTGCAGCTAGGGGGCGGTTAACCAGGGGCGGCGCAGCGGCCAGAATGGAATGGGCTGGTGTAGTGACGAAATGGAGGCCAAGGCTTCCCACCAGGTGCGACAATGGCAGCACCAATGCGAGGGAGGCACCGACTAAACGCGAGCAATGGAAGCGAGGGAGTGAGAGCGAGAAGCGAGGGAGTGAAATAGTCGAGCAATGGAAGCGAGGGAGCGAGAGCGAGAAGCGAGGAAGTGAGAAAGTTCGAGAGAGGAGGTCTCGAGGAAGAAGGAAATGAATAGTAGGTTAAGTTTTTTTGACACGGTGGGGTTAAGAGGTAAGCAATAATACCTCGGTTCTATGCTCAACCAAAGCAATACATGCATATATGTCTCAGTTCTACTCTCCACCAAGGCATATAGTCCTCAGAAAAATATAAAAAAAAAATATGAAATGGTTATACTCGGTTCCCGCCTAAACCAAAGCATAAACATTGTTTCGCACCGGTTCTAAATGAACCGAAGCCATAGGCTTTGTGCAGACTTCAAATTTTAAAGACCTGTCAGGGGGCAAGTGGGCTTTTAGGCCTCAGTTGTAGTATCAACCAAGGTAATATGCCTTATATGCTTCGGTTGCTTTTGAACCGAGGCGTATAAGTTCGCTTAAACTACAAAAATGCCACCGCGTTTTGATAGGCTTCGGTTTCACCTAAACCGAAGCCTATAGCACGAGTTAAAAAGCAGTTTTTTTACTAGTGATGGCTGCACCTGATTTCACATATGAAAGCTTGTGCATAAAGTATCCTAATGGGAACGTGCCATATGTTCTCAAAACTGGACTGATCCATTTGTTGCCCAAGTTTCACGGTCTTGCAGGTGAATGCCCACACACATTTGAAGGAGTTCCCACATAGTTTGTTCGACAATGAAGCCTCTAGATGTTCCTGAAGATCACATCTTCCTAAAGGTGTTTCCGCATTTGTTAGAGGGTGTGACAAATGATTGACTGTACTACCTTGCGCCTTGCGCCTAGTTCTATCACGAGTTGGGTCGATCTTAAGAGATTATTTTTGGAGAAATTCTTTCCAACATCAAGGACCATGGCCATAAGGAAAGATATTTCTGGGATTAGGCAGCTCAGTGGTGAAAACTTATATGAACACAAGAAATATAAAAGATGTTCTGCAAAGAAAGAACTACAAAGAGTTTAGGCACATTACATCCAACTCAATGAAAGAGAGTTTCGATACTCTTATATATCTAGAACACAAGGATGGATTTGAGTGATGAAAGGGGTGAAGGAAGATAGAGTTCTTGAGTCCTAGAAATGCCTCAACCCATATCTTGAGTGTCTAGTTCGTTTCCACGTCCCAAAAACTATTTTTTCTTCAACTCTCGAAATTTTAAAAGGTTTACCAAAAAATGTTTTCTCACTAGGCCACCAAATCCTCTCGTTGGGTGAGAGGTAGCTTTTCTGACATGTGGTTCTCCAGCTCGCTGGGCTTCCTGGTTGGGCTAGAGCTGCCAAGGTGTCATTGGGCAAATGGAGATGACTCGTTGGGCATGTGGCTTCTAGCAACATCTCTTTAATATTCTCCAATCTTCCAATTTCCTACAAAATAACCCCAAAATAGATAAGTATATATATATATATCTATAACAAATATATACAAGTCTTGCCTTTTTTAATGGAATTCAATGCAATAAATGGTAAAAAGACAAATAAGGGGCTCTAATAAGTGTGAATAATTATCATACTTATCACTAAGCTACCAGAAACCAATTGATTATGAAAGATGGATATATGTTGGAGATGGAAAACCGGTGGAGGTGGAAG